GGATGTCTCGGAATGCATTATATAGCTATTTTTGTTAGGTTTTGATTCTTAAAGTATGTATACCATTAGGGAATCGCTACACTTTTGATCTGGAGGTTAATTGATGAAATACAAAGGTGCACTCCTCATCAACCTCTGTAAACTGTAGAAAACGTACTTAAACACACAAGAAGAAGATTTTTTTGCAGCCAATTACTTACTAATTCAGCATATCTCAGTTCTTTTTGAGTAATATAAAAGAAAAAAATAAACCTTTATTAAGTATACCTTTGTTATACATGTAATACTGTGGCATGGTTTTAAAATAATACAATGTGTAAGCATTATCTGTTGCTATTATTTTCATTCATTCTATAACTGATTTTAAAAGCAGCAGTTGTGCTTTACTAGAAATGGTTAAATATTGTTTAATGGCATGGAGATCCACCTATTACTATCAACTCCTAACTTTGGAATCCTCACACAAAAATTACATTTTTCACTACCCCCGCAGGGGTCGCTTGATAATGCTTGTCCCCAGTGATTGCCCTGACCTTGCAAGCCTCCTGACACTTCTGACATTCTGGGGTCAGACATATTTTAACGGTATAGGATAATAATGCAAGAGACACAGTTCTTTAGTAACACCTCTATATTAAACTTGTTCCAAAGAGTAGACCACAAGAATAATGAGTTTAGGATATACTACCCCAGTACATAAAAATAGAACACTGGTAAAATAGGAATAATCAATTAGCAACATTTAACAAATTATACAGTCTTGAGTAGTAAGCTTCAACTATTAAACTGCAACACCAGCAGTAAGAGGGGAAAGAAAATGCTTGTTGACTTATCCTCTCCTTCTTAATGTATACTCCGACATAGATAGATATAAGTATCCTAAATGTAAAAATAATTGCCTTATAAAAGAAGAGGTACCTTTCACCACTTGACCTCCAGAGAATTCCCGACCAGACCATTTTTCATGATACGGCACTGCGTTATTTTAACTGACAATTGCGCAGTCATGCAACGCTGTACATAAATGGAATTTTTAAAATTTTTTTTCCCACAAACAGAGCTTTCTTTCAGTGGTATTTGATCACCGCTGCATTTTTAATTTTTTTTCCCCTATAAACAAAAAAAGGCCCACAATTTGGAAAAAAAAAACTATATTTTTGACTTTTTGCTATAAAACATATCCAATAAAACATTTAAAAAATCTAATTTCTTCAGAAATTTAGGCCAAAATATATGCTGCTACATGTCTTTGCTAAAAAAAAAAATGCCAATACATGTAAATTAATTGGTTTACGTGAAAGTTATAGTGGCTACAAATGGCGGTATATACTGTATACTGGACTGCAGCGGGCATTCTGACACTGGGGGGAACTGCCAGTGACATCCCCAGTGACACTAATACAGTGATCAATGCTAATAAAAAGCACTGACACTGTACTAATGACACTGGGCAGGAAGAGGTTAACATCTGGGGTGATCAAAGGTTAACTGTGTGCTGTGTGTGTTTTACTGTGAGCTGTGTTTTACTAGGGAGACATGTTGTAATGTGGTGCAGAGAGATACAAAACAGCATGCCCATGCTGACAGGAGAGAGACCTGTGTTGTTTACACACAGGTCTCTTCCCTGTCAGCTTTCCCCGATGATCACCGAGTGCCGACCAGTAATCGCTGGCCGGGACCCGCTGCTTGACATTCCTAGCTGCTAATAGCAGAGCAATTAGGGTGGCGCGCATGCGCACACGCGCGCCCCCTGCCCAGGTATGAAAATCACTTATATGTGATTTTGTACAGCCCTGCCACCCTGTAGCAGTACTTCTGCTATAGGGCGGCGGGAAAATGGTTAACTAGAGATCGCAACTTGAGTCCTCCGATGTTTAAAGTTCCTGATATGGTGGTGTTCGTTGTCTTCTGCTAGCAATGGTTGAGCCCATAAACAGAAGTGAATACTGGTAATTCAATTAAGTTTAAACAGACTGTAGTTCTGCTCAAAGCAAAGCTTTCCTGATACTGGGGTGTAAAGGTGTCTGCATGCAGTGTCTCTAGAATGATGACAGAAAGAGGTTGGGCATTCACCCTCTCACCAATCCCAATTCTTGGCTATTTTCAGGGATGTGCAGAGTTGCCATCTGATGGCCAGCCAGCACAGCATGCAGAGATGTCTGCCTGAAGATCGGATAGTGACAGTCCTGATGCAGAGAAGCTGATGCAATCCCAGTGTGGCGATCAGTGTCACTGCTGTGCTGAACTGATATGCAGAGTGCCGCAACAGTAGGCAATCTGTCTCTGTAGGAGAATGGTAGTCCCACTGTGTTCAGCTCTGAATCCCACACCAAGAGAGCAAGCCTGTCCCTTGCTGTGAAATATATTTTCATTCTGAGCAACCTTCTCCTTCCCCAGATCTCTAGTAGTTGTAGTTCAATCAGCACACAGGAACAAAGGATGTATTGGCTATAGGACTACAAGTCCCAAGTTTCTCTGCTGCAGAAAAAAAACTGAATCAACTCTGCTAACAGGAAGTGATGTATCGGTCCCAGTTCTGGGCACTAGGGGGAAAAAGGATAAACCATAGTCTCATCTGTAAATGACTCTGAATGACATAATTATATAGCTGGCACCTGGCTACATACTGTTTACACATGACATGAAAGTCAATTTTAACCTTATTTAGATGAACAAAAACCCAGTGGTGGTTAAATACCACCAGAAAAAGCTATATTTGTCTCAAACCATGCTAAAAATGTAATTTGGGCACAGTGTTGCATGAATGAGTAATTTAAAGTGTGGCATTGCTAAAGATTGAAAACTGGCCTGGACTGGAAGGGGGTGAAAGTGTCACTAAAAAAATTACTAACTAATTCAATAAATAATGACTCTATCGAAATGACATTGACAATAACACTGCCACTGACTGACATAAAAGCCTGGTACACACCACTAGTTTTTTTTTCACTCAACCCAACGGGCTGAACAAAAAAAAAACCTGACAGCTCAGGAGCAGCCCCTTCGACAGAAGCCAGCTTCTGTTGGACTGGCTGCTGTACACAATGGCCGAATGTCGGCTGGTTTCTATGGAACCAGCCGATGCCTCCCCACATTCGGCCCGTGTGTACTAGGCTTAACACTGACACTCAGTAGACTAGACCAAGTCCTAATCGGATTAATCTTTATTTTTTTCAACAGACCTTTACATGTGTACACATCTTTCTAGATCCTTTCTGTCCTCAATTGCTATGTGCACCAAAAGAGAGTTGGTCTTAATTAGCTCCAGTTTTGCAAGAGACAAACTGTCGTTATTTCATTTTGAATTTGAATCAATGCAACAAAATGAAAAAGTGTCTTCAATAATAACTACCTGAATTTGGACCACGACTCGTAGATATGAGGAATAGTAGTGCAAATGCTTATTGAATTTGGTGCAATGCATTAACAATGGCTATTAACAACCTAAAACTGGTGCAGGACCTTTATTAAATTCCCCGTTAGTGTTTCTGGGAATACTTTGTCATGAGTTAAATGTTTATTTGTAAAAAAAAAAGAGATTGTATATACTGTGATAAATAGCACAATAAAATGACAAGAGTCTACATTCCTGTGGTTTGAGGACTCTGTTGTTTGATCAGGGAAGTGGGTGGGTTCCCTGTTCACCACCCGACACCATCTCTTTCAGGTTTTTATCATGGACCAAGGCACAGGTGGATTTGATAAAAAAGCAGTGATCTCCTGTTTGTAAATGGTAGCCAACTGGGAAGGGTGTCAACATATGGAGTACAGAGCTGGCAAGACACCCTTTATTATCCTGGTGGAGTTTTGCAGGAGCTACAAGAAACTTGTTTTCTTATCTTTCTGGACAAATTAAAGTGGGCCAAACCACCTTAAATGAACAATTAGTGAATGGACTGTCTTTTATTTGCTCACTGTTTGACGATGAAACCCCACTATAAATGGATTCTGATTGCTTTGGTTTACTACAGTTTGCACTGACCTTCTGCAAATGTTAGCTGTGGCTTTCATACTGATTATCTTGCTTCAATACTGTGAGATACTAACCTGGAACAAGTATGTACTGTAAATAGGAATTTTAGACTTAAAGCAGAGTTCCAGTGAAACTGAAAAAAAATAAAAGTCAGCAGCTACAAAAACTGTAGCTGCTGACTTTTAAAAAACAGCCACTTACCTGTGCCTCGATCCCGCAGTGTCCTCCCCACAGCCCATTTCACGGGCCATCCTGTGTTCGTGGCACCAGCACTTTCAGTGTGGGCACCCACCTGTGACAGTTTGGCGCTTTGACAGCTGGGTGCTCACTGCACATATGTGAGACGCACTGCGCTTTCTGAATGGTCCTGTTGTCTTCTGGGACCTGTCATGTGTCCCAGAAGACTATGGGGAGGAAGGGGGGAGGACAACTTATTCTTCCAATCACTTAGGCGATCACAGCAGAAGTAGGAGCGGGTACCTGCCAATTTTGGGTACCTGCTACCCCCTGCTCCCCAAAGGTGCCAATCCTTAACGTGGATCGGGGGAGCAGTCATTAAAGCGGAACTTCCCCTTTTTGGTGGAGTTCTGCTACTTTGTTTTGGATTAGTGACTCAGAAAGTATTTTTTAAGTCAATGATGCACCATAGAGCATTGTGTTACAAATTTTGTGGTATGCCTGATTTTCAGGATGGTTCGGTGCTTTGGCAGCCCATTGCATTCACTGTGCTGTCTTAAAACAACACGCATTAATGCATGACATAACGTGCATTAATGCATCACAAAAATGTAAATGGACATAAACATTTATGTTAAATAGTGTTATATGTATTTTAATGTCATTGCATTCATCAATGTGATATTCAACAAATAAAAAATATGCACCATCTGTTTGGCCAGTGCATTAGTCTTTATTTTACATACCAGTTTTTAGCTAAATGACTACTGAAAGTTGTTCTGAGTTGAAATGTTTTTGGCTTCTATAGAACACAGCTGTTATTACACCTTAGCATAGAAGCCACAATATCTTACCTTTTTAAGGCACTCTTTTGTTGTCTAGCTGCTTCGATTTGCCGTGCTTCATTTTGTTTTTGAATTCTCTGTTCCCAAGCATTTTTAAGTTCGCAAGTTTCCAAAGCAAAGATTTCCACACGTATGTACTGGTTGTTCATGATCTCTGGACAGATAAAATTATTGATGGCAAGCTGCAAATATATGAACACATTATATATGTCACTTTCACTTGTGTAGTATCTTTATGCTGTCTTTTTATTTATATTTATATTTAAATTTACATTAATATTTAAATAAAAGATTTGAAAAAGGAATTGAAAATGTTTTTTGTGGTTTTTTTTTTAAGAAGACAGCTGTCACAAGTTCAACCAAATACATGACATTTTGTTTTGTTCTTTTCTCAGCACACCAAAATTATGGTATTGCATGGAACAAAAGGTGCAGGACTGACATTATCTTTGCACAATTTCATCCTAATGCGTTCAAAAAGTCTTGCATCATTAATTGTACAGGTGGTTCCTAACTAAGTGCACCAATGTTTTTTGTATTATGCACTTTTAGAGGAAAGGTTGTTTTGCATATAAATGTGTTGTTTTCCATCTAGGTGAAAATGATCTATTTAAGCCAAAAATAACAAGATAATAAAGAATAGCCATTTGAAATTTAAAATAACAATACCAGCTTTTGCTCCAATAATAACCTTCAATTGATTTCCCCTGCAGTACCTTTTTATCTGTCACTAAATGTCCTCTAGTCAAATCTGATGGACAGTATCATTCAACCTACTTCTAAGTCCAGGTTTTCCTGAACCTGCCTCAGCCTGTAACTAGGGTAAAAAAAAGACAAGGCCCCAAAATGGAACCACTGTGTGGTCAGCAGAGGCACCCATTCAATTAAAATGTGCTTCAAAGTAGATTCTTCAGTAAGGTTGCTATTTCTTGATCATAAAAAGGTTGAAATACCATCAATGCATTTTATGGCTCTTTAGTGGACACTTGTCAAAAACAGTATACTCTGGGCTAAAGGAATGTACTAGCTCCTAATGTGTTTCTATTACAGCCAGCCCCACTCTCTCCTGGCATTATTCATCCTCTGAAATGCAAAGTCAATGCTGTGAGCTGTGCCTCTTTACCTACAAGATGTGTAGACACACATTTTTGGTTTCCTATTGCCTGTTAGTCCTGGGATTCTGAGCCACCTCCAGTCCGTGCACTATGCTGGTCAGAGCTCTGCCCCCATGCTGTGCCTGGGCCGTGTGTAACTCTGTACACCATACATACTGTATATAAACCAAGCCCAGCCTGCACTGGATATCTTCAGAGTCTTCCGTCCCATCTCAACTCCCTTCAATCACCAAGAATGGTTGGACTATGACAGACTAGCTAAAAACCTAACCAAACACTCCAGCTCACATAGAGTACCTCTACCCCCACTAAGCACCAATGTACCCTACTTACTTAGCACTAATGTACCCACACTTAGCTCAATGTCCCTAATCTCCCCCCATTGACCACCAATGTCCCCCCTCTCCCTGCACTGAGATCAGTCTCCTCCCCTCCCCCCACCTAGCACCAATGCCCACCTTTACCCCCACTTAGCATCATTGCCTCTCCCCTCTTAGCATATCCCAGTCTTAGCCCACTCCCCCAGCACCAATGTTCCCAATCTGTGCGCTGTATATTTTCTATTCTACATTGGCTCTTTCTGTACAATGTAAGTTGTCTCAGGCTCTGATTAAAAACACCCCTTTAAGCCATTCTCAATATTAAAAACTACACCGAAATGCACTGCATGCTTTTCTCAGCCAAGGGGACCCAACTTGCACACAAGCCCACTGCATTCAGAAAACACGATGGCAGCAAAAGGTGGCACGCAAAGGCACAGGGAGTACCGACCTTTATAAGTCAGTGTGCCAAAAGACATCTTCCTGTGTACATCGGGAGCAATTTGTGCTATTTTGACCACATGCGTTACTATGTCTGCTATTTCATCATGGACAGCAAGTTAGAACAAAGAACAAATGTAAAATTCTGCGTGAAACAGAGTGAATATGCCACAGAGACGTTTGACATGATTCAACAAGTTTACGGCGATGCCGCAAATGAGTTGTTTGAGGTATTTTGAGTGGCACGTGTGCTTCAAGAGCAGAAGAACATCACTGTAAGACGATGAGAGATCAAGAAGACCTTCAATGAGCACAACTCTCAAAAATGCCCTCATCCTGAAGATGAAAATCCAGCTTAAAGGTTGCCGTTTTGATAACATTGCGGAGATCCAGTGATTTGCCCAGTGTCACACAGAATTTCATGTTTTCTCTTTGTTTTAACATGATGAAATAGCAGGCGTGGTAACGCATGTGGTCAGAATAGCACCAGTTGCACAGCTCCCAAAGTACTCAGGACAATGTCTTTTGGCACACTGACTTATGAAGTCAGTCACACCTGTGACTGTACATGCAGCCTTGTGCTGCTATCTGAAGATGTGTTAAAAAATTAGTCTCAAACCTTTTCAATACCACCTTATATTATCATCTGCAGCTCTTTTAGAGAGATTATCCCTCACTTCTTGTCCTGATGACAATATTTTACCATACAGAGAGTAAGGTAAACTCTCTAACAAAGACAGAAATACTTATGTAACCCATTGATATGTTACTACTTGCAATACATTAAAATGTACATTAGATGGGGGTAGTCTGTCATTCAGGGTCACTCACATGGACAGAACAGCCCTCTGGAACTTGTATGCTGTATAGCAAGACTCAGCTGGTGAGCAGGGCAGTCAGGGACTACAATTCCTAAGAGAGGTAGCGTGTGGGTGGGGGCATATAAATATCAAAGCCCGGGAGATTGGCTAGGAGAGTGTGGGGAGAGATTGAAACAGAAGGAGGTGTGCTGACGGCTGAAGTGCTGAACTAGGCCATGGAGCCGAAGTTGGAGAGAGAGGAAGAGCAGAAAGAGCCTACTGTCCACTCAGCCTGCCACACTGTCCAGCAGACCAATCTGAGAGCAGGAGACCAAATGGGACGGCAAGTTTGAGCCGGAGAGTCCGTGGTTTGACCCCGTTTGCAGAGAGACAGACAGCTACGATCTGCTGGACTACTTTATCGTGTGAGAGAGACCCATGCATCCACTAACCAACTGAATACTGACATTTTGCCACCTCAGCTATCTGCCTATATGTAGTTGTCAACATTGCATGTAGTTGCTTGTTTTGTGGCCTAGTTTCTCGCAGTTGCCATTGTTGAGATACATTGCAGTTTCTTGTACAAGCTGACCGCAGGACATAGAGTTGCAGGCCAGGTGTAATGGACCGCCTGACGGTACCACTAGCACTCCACTGATTAGTCGCACCCAGGGCACGGAGTCTAAGCCCCAGAGTACTTGTTCACCAGAGCCCCTGATGGTGGGGATGGACTTGGAGTACCCTGAGACCAGGTCGTGGCCCCTGAGTGCGCCTGTCAGTGGGAGGGGTATTCGCCAGAGGCTCCCACGGGGAAGAGCCTGATGTGAGGAGGTCGGAAGACCCCGGTGGGATGGATGGATGGATGAGCAGGTGCAAGGTCAGACAAGCCGGGTCGGTAACAGTGGGGACGGTGCGGTACAAAGCAGCGGGCAGAGAATAGTCGGGTCACACGCCAGGTCAGCAACAGGAGGTCAGATCTAGTAAGGGGCATCCAGGAGAGAGGTCAGGCAAGCCAGGGGTCAGGGTAGGAGAATGCAGCAAGGGTCAGGTCCAATCCGGTCAGCAACTTACAGGAAACAGGATCACAGGTACAGGTATGCAGAAGAGACCAGAAGGCACTGAATGACAGCTCAGGGCCGTTTAAATATCGCGCCCTGCGCTGTCATTGGTGCCCGGCGCGCGCGACCGCGGTTCCTACTGCGCATGCGCAAGCCCGAATGCCGCGGTCGGCCAGGAACTGATGCCCGCGTCCCTGCCGAGAGCGGAGCACTGCACCTGCGCCGGGACCAGCGCCGCGAGGATCCCTGACATTGCCCCCCCCCTATGGGCAACCTCCGGGTGCCCACTTGATCTCTCCACCACGGGTGATCACGAAGAAACTCCCGGACAAGCCTAGGTGCATGGACATGTTGGATAGGTTCCCAGGAGTTGTCCTCCGGACCATAACCTTTCCATTTAATTAGGAACTGAGTCTGACCCCCCCTCCTTCGCACTTCAGAATTGCTTCTACCTCGAATTCCTCTTGCTCTTCGATAGTTATGGCCTCCGGAGGTCTGGACTCTCGATCTGGAAAAGGGTCAGGGACAACTGGTTTCAGCAGGGATACGTGGAACACCGGATGGATCTTGAACGTCTCAGGGAGGATGAGCTCATATGCCACTCTGTTGATCATTCGCTTCACACAAAAAGGGCCTACAAACTTCGGTCCCAATTTTCTTGACGGACACAACATTTTCAAATTTGTCGTTGCCAACCAGACCTTATCCCCAGGCTGCAGCACCAGGTCCCCCCTTCGTTTCTTATCAAACGCCTTCTTGTTATCCTCCTGGCCCTCGCGATGGCCTCCTGCAGTAGTTTGTTGTTGGAGGAGAAAAATGCAAGTGCGTCTTGTGTTGCTGGAACTGGGCATTCCGAGACCAGATCAGGGAGAAAGATAGGATGAAATCCGTAGTTCGAAAAAAACGGGGATTGCCCCGTTGCCGAATGGTTAGTGTTATTATAGGCAAATTCTGCCAGGGGTAAGAGCGATAGCCAGTCATCCTGTAGGAAGGAAGTGTAACAACGCAGGTATTGCTCCAGGGTCTGGTTCGTCCGCTCTGTTTGTCCGTTGGTCTGCGGGTGGAATGCGGAGGAGAGGGATAACTTGATATCCAATGCCTTGCATAGGGCTCTCCAAAACTTAGACGTAAATTGAACCCCTCGGTCGGATACAATGTCTTCTGGGACTCCATGTAGTCTTACAATTTCCTGAATAAAAACTCGTGCAGTTTCGGATGCTGACGGGGTATTCTTCAATGGCAAGAAGTGGGCCATCTTAGATAGTCGATCGATGACCACGAGGATGGCGGTGTGGCCTTGGGATGGAGGGAGCTCGACTATAAAGTCCATTGCGATCTTCTGCCATGGTCGTTCGGGGATCGGCAGAGGTCGCAGCAGTCCCCAAGCCTTGCTCCTTGAAGGTTTGTTCCTTTGG